ACATGAGGATGTCCCTTTTATTCCACACAAATAATATAGATATCTTTGTTTGTATATTGTGTTCATGTGTAAGACAATATAGCCATTATTTTTACCACAATTTTAATGTTTATCTCCAATATTTCAGAGTTTTAAGATTTATTTCCCCAGTTTTATTATGTGTATTTGTGTGTGTGTGTGTGTGTGTGTGTGTGTGTGTGTGAGAGAATATATGTGCACATGGGTATATGAGTGCCCAAGGAGGCCAGAAGAGGGCATTGGATCCCTTGGAACTGGAGTTACAATTATGTGAGTATCTAACAAGTGTGCTGGGATTTGAACTCTGGTCTTAATGAAAGGGCAACAAGCATCCTTGACTACAGATCCATCTCCAGCCCCTCAAAGATGTTTTATAAACAACTATTACTTTAATACTATGCCAATGAAAGTTTTCTTTAAAAAGGAATTAAGAATGCCAGTGAATCTAATCAAGCCAATATAATATAAATGTACATTAAAAGTTAAGAACCAGACACAATTTCAACATGGGAATAGGAAAGGTGGGCAAGAAGCCCAACCCCTGCTGAGGAACTACTGACAATTGATGGCTGCTGGGGAGGGAGAGCCAGTTTTCTTTAAGGGTGTGATGCTCGGCAGGTTGATCAGGCTCCAGGGCATGGACCCACACCCAAGAGTATTTGGGGACAAAAATTAGACTTGATAAGCCTTAAAATAAAAGCAGACATGAAATTGGAGGGTAGTAAAGTGGGGAGTGGTGATGGGGGAGGGGGTCTGAATATGATCAAAACGCATTGTGTGAAATTCTCAAAGAAACAACAAATTTTCTTAAAAGTTGAAAAAAGTACACTAGTGATAGTTTTTGGGCTCAGTCATTGTTTATTAGGCTTTACAGTTGGGTAGGATTGTTGATTAGTTTTCTCTCGGCAGTTTCCACAGTACCCTCTGATACTATGAGAGCTTGTCTTCAGGGAGGAGGCTTCCAAGTTAATTCCAGCTCAATTGCTCCAAGTCTGTGTTTGAAGTGTGGCCTATTTTCAGCAGTGGAGTCTTACCTTCACATTCTGGGAGGAAATCAAGAGCTGTGGCAATAGCCTATGTTATTTCAGGAGTCTTCTGAACTACCTTGACCAACAACTTGAAGGGAGGTTTTTCCTGCATGCCTCTGTGTGTTTTTGTTTGTTTCTTTCTTTCTTTTGTTGTTATATAGGCTTCAGTATACACATGCACTCATATATTTATTGTATTTTACTTTGGGGGCAATCAACAGGAGTCTAATTGGGATTAAGGTCCACCCAACAGGATAGAACTTACATATAGGACTATAGACACAGCCAAATACACATGGCTAGAGAGGTCACAGATCCTAGAAAAAAAAAAAACAACTTACTTTTCCCACATCCCTAGACCAATGTAATTTCTTACTTCATTCTAAATACGCATCCTTATATAGACAGACAAGTGTGTTTTTCACCCCTCATCACTGAAGTTTCTTTTTGTAACTGATGGATGCTATTACAGAGTTCAGGAACTGGTCAAAAGCACAGAATAAGTGTCTGTGAAACCCTTAACCCTAAGTGACACATCTTCAATGCAACCTTCACACATAGGATGAATGCATCTTCAATCTCACCAACAATGTTTCCTTATACAGCAGATGATGACTGACACAGAAACCCACAATTGATTGGTCAATGTGCAGAGAACAAGAGGCTGCAGAGTGCTGATCTCTGAATAGGGCACCTATTTCAAACTTCTGCCTCCCCAGACTCAGGGATCATTGTGGAAGAGGAGGTGGAAAGATTGTAAGACTTAGAGGGAGTGGATGACCATAAGGAAACAGAGTCTTCCAGACAGCTGGTCAATTAACATGAACTCACAGCAATGGTGACAGCATGCACAAGTCCTATGCAAGCTCCAACCAGACAAAATCCCAGGATAGACATGGGAAGTGGGTAAGAAATCCAAACCCAACCTAAAGAACTTTGGGCAATTGATGTCTGCTTGGAGGGGGAAAGACAGTGTCTTACAGGGATCGAAGTCTTAGTGGGCCCAGTGGATGGACCCACACTGAAGGACTCTCTAGGCCGTGTTATATATATATAAGAGAGTACATTAAATTGGGAGGGAGGGCAGTGGGGAGAGTTATGGGTAGGGGAGGGAATCTAAATACCATCAACTGTATTGTATGAAAATTGCAAAAATTCAATTAAAAAATTAAATAAAAAAATTTAATCAATCCCAGAAAAAGGAATTGTCCTGAACAATTCAAATATTAACAATTTTACCTAAAATTTCAGGTGTGACTATTTTCTAAAATCATGTAATATTCCACATTAAGCTTAACAAGGACCAAATCATAAAATATCCCAGATTAAATGATTTGTTATACATTTGTGTACTTTACACTCATCACTGAGTCTGCACACTTCTCAGTCACACTAGGTACAAATGGACTGGATGGCTTGTACACAAACAAAAGCACCAATCATTAGTAAAATTACAGTCACTGACATTTTAAGCACATTCATTTTAATGCAATATCCTAATTACTTGATGAATTTAAAATGTCCTGTCTGTATCTGCAACTTGGAGGTCTTGAATAGATATCACGGAGGAAACAAAATCACATATAAAGAATTAACACTGACATAGTAAATCATGTGTAGTTTTTCAGTAGGTATTTTTCTAAGTGTACCAAAGACAGAGTGCTCATAGCATCAGGTAAAAGGAGCTACACACTGAGAGAGATTATTATTATTATTATTATTATTATTATTATTTTCGGTTCTACATGCTGTTTTATTAACTTTCACATCAAGAATAGTCATGATAAAATTTCTCTAATTTTAAACTTTAGGTTTTAATTTAATCAGAATACTGAAAAATAAAAGCATTAGTGATAACATCTGAAAACAAGACTAGTGAGAAAAAAGTTTCCAGATAAAACAAGTCACTGGAAAGCCCCTGCATTCAAAACAGAATGGTGTTGGTACAGGAACAGACAAGCAGGAATCAGAGAAGACAGACCAGAAACAGATCCAAATACACAGCCAGCTTTATACGTAACAAGTGTAAGATTTCAATCCCATGAAAAATAAAAGGATTTGTAGTAACTAGGATTTATGTCACAGTTATCCATCTAGGAAAGAAAAAGAAAGAAAAATAGAATCCTACCTCATATCACATGCAAAATTTAAAGTTGGAACAAGATTTGAGTGTCTTTTTAAAATGGGATAAAAAATTTTTAAAGACTATCTGATGACCTTGAGGTGGGAATACGATCCTGAGCACATCAGAAAACTGCAAAACCATAAAGGAAAAGACAGACACATTTGATTAAATAATTAACAAATTTCATTTGGCACCATCCGCAGAGGGAGAAAAAAACATCAGAAAGATACATTTTCACACATATAACAAAAGATTAACATCTAAAAACATGAACTAGAATCTGAAAGTAAAACATGGGCTGTGGAAATGAAATGAAGGAAAAAAAGAAATTCAAATAGACAGCTGACGTATGAGAACAGACTCAGGATTAGTGGTTGGTAGAGGAGATGAAAATTAATCATCAGATACAGTAAGGCTGGCAGGAATTCAAAAGGGCAGTGGCATCCAGGGCTGGTGAGAATGTAGGAAATGGGAGGCGATGTGTGATTCCTTTGGATAATTTATCAGTATCTATTAAAATGAAAAACACACATACCGTTTGACCAAGCAATTCCACTTCGGGGAATCTATCCTATAGGGAAAAAAAGGACCAGTATGTAAAGATGTAGGTACAAAGATCTTCACTGAAGCATCGTTGCTGTGGGTTAGGGTTGCCAAGTGCAGTACTGAGAATAATACAAACGTCCATCAATAGAGAAATAAAATGGTCAAATGAAATGTGATACACCTATCACATCAAATATTACAGTTAAAAATGAAATGGAGACAGTTATCCCTACGAACTTGGACAACTGATAAGGTGAGAAAAGTGGACCAAGAACTGAGTGTTCAGTGTTCTTGTAAGACAGGTACATGGATGTAAACACACTTGGCTGTGTATGAAACAAGGAATGGAAGAACACAAGCCAATCTAATGAGGGCCACTTTAGTGACAGAGTCCAAGTTTATCTTTGGGCTTACTCATTACAATGAGCATGATTACTAGCCTAATAATTTTCAAAGTTATTTTTAAGAAAAACATCAGCTTTTATTAGTAGTAGTATTCCCAGACATGTCCTTAGTGAAACCATACCGAGTGAACATTCTTTCTTTGCTTATGCCGCTATCACCAGTGTTCACTTCTGGTGGCTTGCCAATATCTATTTTTTTGTTCTGTCTCCTCTGTGTGTTCATCATGTTGTTTAGGTAAGACAGACTACACTCCATTTTCAGGGACTCCCAAACAGCTTCTAAACCACTACTCTCCGTGGGAAACAATTCCACGTTACTTACACACTTTTAAATTATCTGGTAGTTACATTTTTAACTTTTAAAAACATTTAAAGAAACAGAAATAGAATTTTATTTATTATTTACTTTAAAGATTTTATTGCCTTGAATTTCTCAAGAGTTCTAAGATTTTTTTTTTTTTTAAATGTCCAGGGCAAGACTTGAAATGGATTCTGGGGAAGTTGATGCTCTCTCTGTCTCTATCTCTCTCTGTCTCTCTATTTCTCTGTTTCTCTCCATATACACATGTACATGCATGTATAAACACATATGGGAGGGTACACATGTGTACAGGTATGTGTAGTGGCAGAGGTGGATGTCAGGTGTCTTCTACAATTTCTCTCCATCTATTTTTTTAAAGGGTGACTTATTGAACCTGAACTTCTCTGTTAGCCTAGACTGGCTGGCCGGTGAACCCCAGGCTTCTCTTGTCTCCAGCTCCCCACTGCTGGGATTACAGGCTCCCAACTTTTTATGGGGGTGCTGAGCATCTGAACTCAGGTCTTCAAGTTTGTTTGGCAAGCACTTTACTGACTGAGTCATCCTTCTAGCCACAGAAATGTAATTTTAATAATAGTAATATCGCTCTAATCAGATCCTCAGATTCTTCCATTTCAAAAATGGAAGAATTATTAATGAGAATATTCACATTCTTTCTATTCTTATCTCAATTCAGAGTATCTTCACGGCAAAAGCTCACCATGTTCAAGGCTGAATAAGAACTGGAAATGAATCAACCACAGAGAAACCATTACAGCGGGCAGAGAAAAGTTCTCTCCTGGGTGAGAGTGAACAAGGAACACAATATCCTGGGAATGGTTGGCCTGCAGTTGGGATGAGATCCCAGGTTTTCATGGACAACACTGAGCCCTGGATCTACCCTTGAAGCCTGGATTTTCAGTCATCCGAGCTGGTGAGCCTCCTTTATGTTCTTCAGACGCATAGATGAGGTTTTCTACTAGCTGCAGTAAGAAACCAGCCAGTTGATGAATTCCTCCATGGACAGTGCCGTGTCCAAGCAGTCATTTTCTCAAAGTAACTAACTAACTCAAAGGTTCCAGATTCCTTCATTTATTTGTACTCAGGGTATTCTTGTGTTCAGTTAGCTTTATTTGTTAACATTTTAGAGAATTTTCTGAAAAATATCTTCAGTGGAGATTCTCAGGCTAATGCTTGGTCATCCAGGGCAAGTTTCCAGTCACCACACAAAAGAGGAAATCTCAGAGGAGTCTCTCTCTCTCCCCCCCCCCCCATCTCCATCTCTATTTCTATCATCTTCGCTTTCCCCATTCTTCTCTAGATCAGAGTTTCCCAACTCTTTGAACAGGTAACTGCTGGGGATGGGGGATAGGAGTTCCATGTACACTGTGGGACATTTAGCATTATTCCTGACTACTTCTACTAAAGAAGAGAAGCCCTTCTCTACCCCCCAAAAACTGTAACAACAAATTGTGACACCTCTAAACCTGGTCAAATGTCTCCTGGTTGGGGATGTGTGTGTCAAAATTACTCTAGGTTCCATCCTGTTCTAGGTCAACAACCAATTCAACTGTACAACAGAACTTGATTGTGCTAAAAGACTCAGCCCTTGGAGTATAAATCTCCAGCCCATTCTTTCTGGGCCCTGTGGCCTTCTCTTAGGCTATTGAACTCTGTCTGGCCAATCTTCTACTCCTTCTGGCCCTTATCATGGAGCCTAAAGTCTCCTTTGCAGTTCTTTTTTGAGGAAAAACAAGGGTTCCTTCCCTCTGACTCTAAATTGAAATAATTGCTTGAGCTCCTCCAAAAATTACCTCCCAATCATTCCCCTTGAGAGGATTTTCTGATGAAGCATAGGCTCATTTCTGGTTACTCATTCCTCAATTGAGTCCTTGGGGCCTGGGTCACTCCTTTTCTCCACCTGTACCTTTGGAGGGCAATGCCATCCCACCTCTCCACACGTACACAGCATTCTCTCTAATCCACCCTTAGGACTAGAGTTTCATTATAATTACTGTGAACTGTTAACAGTTCCTCAAATTGATCTATAGACTCAATGCAATTACAGCGCAAAAAATCTCCTCAGGATTTTTGTAGAAGTAGACAAACTGCTTCTAAAGTTTAGGAACCTCGGAACAGCTCAAAACAACTCTAAAATGTACAAAGTTGAAGGATCAGCACCACTATTAACAAGATTCACTATGAAGCCACAAGAATCAAGGCTGTGTGGTACTGCTCTAAGGACAAGCAGATCAATGAAACAGAAGAGTAAAGCCTGCCAACGGACACTCGTATATAGGGACAATTGAGCTTTGACAAACACACAGAATTTCAATGGACAAAGGCATGTCTGTTCAATAAATGCTGCTGGAACAATTAGATGTTTATATGGAAAAATGTGAACTTTGATCCATATCATTTAATGTGCAAAAATTAACTCAAAATTAATCATAGATCTAAACATATAAAAGGCCTAGAGAATATAGGATAAAACTTCGGTGACTTTAGATTATGTAAAGACAGCTTAGATTCTACACCAAGTCTTTTAGAGAACAAATTCGTAAGTCAGACCATTAAAATCTAAAGCATTTGATCTTCCACAGATGCTATAAAGAGAATAAAAACACAATTCACAAGTTGGGGGAATATGTTTACAGATTCAACACCTCTTACCCAAAATGCTGGTAAGAAGCAGAAGTCTTTCATATTTCTGGACATTTTAGATTTGGAGTTTCTCGATTAGGAATAATCAACATGTGGCAGATTTATTGATAAAGGTCAAAAATTGTCAACTACCTAAATATCCATGAAGTGAATGATCAAACGATGACATTGCCGTGCAACAGACTATTACCTAGCAAAATAAAGAATTGATATTAAATGTGCAACATCTGTTACAGCACAGCACAGATGGATTTCAGAATGATTATGCTGAGTGAAAGAAGCCAGACCGAAAGAGAGAAAGGAGTTTATCCAGCAGCATATCATTTATTTAAGATTTTAAAACTACAATCTAACCTTTAGGGGCAGAAGGCACGGGAGTTGCCTGGCTGGGGTACAAGGATAGAACAGGTCACTACCAGGGGCAGAAGGACACTGATTGGGAAGATGGGCATTCCACTCTCCTGACTGTGGTCATGGATTCACTTGCACAGTTCATTTCTGTAAGTTTTGCAGATCTGAGGGCAGAACTCAGAATTTTATGCATGTGAGGCAAGCACTCTATCACTGAGTATTTGCACATCTCAAATGTGGACTTTAGATCACATGCAATTTATTGTATGCCAATTACATTTTTTAAAAATTTTTATTTTATGTGTATGAATGTCATGCCTGCATGTATATAAGTCGTACAATGCCCATGGAGGACAGAAGAGGGCATCAGATCCCCTGAAACTGGTGTTACGGATGGTTGTTAGTTGCCATGTGGGTGCTGGGATTCCAACCAGGGTCTTCTGGAAGAACAGCCAGTGCTCTTAACCACTGAGACATCTCTACAACCCCATGCTTTAAAAAAAAAAGGGGGGGGATAAAAATGTAGTGTTCACTGGTAGACTAGGCATAGTTGTACTCTTGGGACACTGGTTCATGTCACATGGGATTCCAGGAAAGGAAGCAATTTGAAGAAGTGGTATTTTATTTGCTGTTTTGAAATTCTGCTATGGGGCTGGAGAGATGGCTCAGTGGTTAGGAGCACTGACTGTTCTTGCAGAGGACCCGGGTTTGATTCCCAGCACCTACATGGTGGCTAACAACCATCCATAACTCCAGTTTCAGGGGATCTGATGCCTTTTTCTGACCTCTGTGGACATTGCATGACATAGGTGCACCTAAATGCAGGCAATACAGCCATACACATAAAATAAAAATAAAATTCTGCTATGGCTTAATAACAACAGAATTCAGAATTCTTTGGTATGTTAACATGGTGCAGCCTGGATACCAATGTAGCAGTAGATGTTGGGTGTGCTGCGGTACGGGATGAGCAGGCAGAGCCTCGGGAAGTGCAGAGCAGAACTATCTTTGCTATGATACCTTAACTACCCTCCTTTAAAAGTCTGGGAAGATGTCCATCACCACCACTGCTCCTCAAATGCGCCGAACATGTGTAGGTATGACCACCTGCAATGAAACCCACAGAAAAGGAAGAAAAAAAAAGGGAAGATGGGAACAAAACAAAAGATGGACCCAGAGTGGAGCTAATGGCCTGAAACCTCAAAGATAATAATTAAATGGTAAGATTTTATCTAGATGTTGATTGCAATATTTTCCCTGTGATTCTACCAGAACCAATTATATTAACATGAAGGAATAATTGAATAC